TCCCATTGAAGTTATTTTTCTTTTATCTTTCATTGAAGCAAACAGCGTTTGACTCGTCCTTGTTCCTTTGCAGAACCGAGCAGTGTTCATGTTCCGCATCGACAGCGAACACATTGTTGATGCCACTCAGAGTGGAGGGCTTGCAAGGTACTCTTAAATCAACAAAATTAATCATTTAAAAATGTTTTAATTACAAACATGAATAGGAAAGATGCTTTTGTTTCCACATATATTTTGTTGAATTATACCAAAAATATTATTTCCCCTTTATGTAGTTTTAATTTAGGTTTTATTGGTTATTACAATATTATATATACATATATAAAAGCTGATTAAATTACAGTGAAATTGTTTCTTGTAAAAGTAATTTTTATTTATTTATTTTTTTAGATATATCAATCACTCTTGTGCCCCTAACTGTGTTGCTGAGGTGGTTACATTTGAAAGAGGTTACAAAATTATCATCAGCTGCATTCGAAGAGTTGAAAAAGGAGAAGAGGTGGGTATACATGTATATTTATATACCTAAGTATAAATTAGTGGTGTAATGGTACATGTACTGCGATTTTATAGTAAAGACAATTTGGACTGATACAATGAAATACATAACAAATACGTCAGTCAGAAGTGATCCAGGTCCCTCTAGAACCAGGCATGTTTTATTGTTTTTTTAACCACATTTTGCTAACAGCCACAACAAAAAAGAAGCAGCAGATGGGAAAAAAGAGGCGCATGTTCAGTAAAAAATAAGATACAAAACTTTCAATTTAAAAGGTACACTCACCTTGTTGGGTAATATTTTGTTCATTATTGTGTAAAAATGTCTCTTTAAAGGGCCAATATTATGTGTTTCTCGTGCATAAATTTAAATACTATACCATAATAAAGTATATGTGTCACCTTTAGTTGTTATTAAAATGCTGTTTTTATGTTTAAATAGAAAATAAACTTATTTACTCATCACTTCCTCTTCTAAATGCCTTGAAATTGGCCTCTGTCTCTTTAATAATGCGCGGGGGGGGGGGGGCTGCTATGATGCAGTTTACTTGGCATCTGAAAATACATTTCCTCAAAGGTATTTTTAATCTGAAAAGAGCTTCACTGAGTGAGAACTAATGTTGAGAGCTCAGCAGACATTTAGGTTTCACTTTCAATTTCACCCGAGAGTCTGCAGGAGTCATGGGCGGGGTGTGTGGGGAGGGGAGGCCCTCTGCCATGAGGAAGTTTGGCTTAAAGACACGTCCCAGGGGCGTTTCTGGTCCCCACCTGTCGTTTTGCTCCTCAGCATGGCTGCCTAAAAACACTATAGGATTTCTCAAACATGCATGAATGAGTCAAAGCAAGGYTTTGGACATGTTTTTTATGAGAGTATAACATTATAACATGATATAAAACTCAAAAAAGTTTATTTTACAGGATATTGCCCCTTTAAAATATAGATAGTTTGAAATATGTACCAGAGTTGCTTATATGATACAACTTCCTGCCATACCGGCACTTCTCATCTCCCCCTGCTGGAGTGATCTGCGGCCCTGCAGAGAATTTCCCACACAGTTGATTTGATATAAACAATCAGGTCTTCAAGCTTCTGAGTGTTATTCTGAACATCTTCTTTTCTTTCGTGACTTTAATAAAAAAATAATAATAAAACGTGACCACTCATTTTGGTTTAAAAGGGTCTCTAAAAAAATATTGTAGTTTATCGCAGTCATTTCTGAGACAATTTATTGTCTAGCAGAATTTGTTATTGTGACAGGCCTATTCACTGTATTCATCAAAAATGTCTGTACTGAATATTATTTTCTCAGTTTTGTTCCTAAACAGTTGCTGGGTTGTTGTTGTAGAAAGCCTAATTGTGATGCTCAGTAACATATTTTTCTCCCTTGTTTTTCAGCTGTGTTTTGACTATCAGTTTGACACCGTTGAGGGTCAACACAAAATCGCTTGCCATTGCCGAGCTCCAGAGTGCAGGAAGTGGATCAACTGAGTAAAACAAGAAACCTAAAAAGCATTCCTTGTTAAGAGAGTGTGACGTTATCTCTGCACGAAAAAAGAGATAAATAATTGAAAATAATAACAGGATTTCACACTGAAGTCGTTTTAAATAGATAACCGGAAAGGTCTGAATCGTTTGATGATTTGTTAAAATCACGGGTTATTAAGATCGTGGGATAGAAATGAGTAAAGGATGGAAAACTACCACAGTAGCAGGATGTGACTTGTGCCATACGTGAGGGGCTGTGTTGTACGCGATGCCCCCCCACCCCCACCGTCTGTATGTATCTGCGTGTTTGTTTGGTGTACATGGGGTGCAGAATCCACCAGCGAATGAGAAAGCACTGTGCAGGGTGCGGCCTTATTGCTTACTAAGGGCAGGCCCTTTTGTTCTAGACTAATGTATACCATTTGACTAAATGTAGACATCACTGAATGAGGAATGTACAGCAACAATATACCGTGAAGGGAATATTAACTTGCACTAAGAAAAAAGACAAAAAATAAACAAACACACACACACACACACATATACACACACACACACACACACACACACACACACATATACACACACACACACACACACACAAACTTTTAAATACTTGATTCCATGAGTCAGTTTTATCATAGGTCTCTGTCATGTGATTTGTGTGGAATTCGAGAGGTTTTGTATTTATTACTGAGTGAATGAACTTTATTCTTAAAATGACGAGATTGAGGTAAAGAAGGCTAGATTGCTATTGCTTTTGAAGATTGAAGAAGACACGCTGTTACTTTTGTATAAATGTACATAAAGAAAACTATAGGAATAACCGACCAAATACTACCTTAACCTTCTTGATGTTTGGGTGTTTTTAAATTGTTTTCTGTTTTATCTGTCATTGAAATTTATTTAAGATGGACGTTATTTCCTTTTGAGAGTATATATTATGAATATTCTGTACAGAATTTGTAATATAACCACAATAATTCACAAAGTATTTTTGTTGTATTAAAAATAAGGTATTGTAGCGTAGTGTTTTGTGACTGACACTTACTTTGACCACTTAAAAGAAATATTTTTGTTGACTAACGAGTTAATGGTTACAGAATTTTTTTAAAACAAGGACTCTTCAGATGGAAAGAGATCTGAGTGCTGTTAATCAGGTTTGATTTTAAAGAACTGTGAATTAGGTTTTGAAACCCAAAAACAACTTTTTAACTTTATATTGTAACAAGAACAGCAAACTGTTTTGTTTTGGTTTTTACTTTACCTTTTTTTTTTCTTTTTGCAAAAGAGTGCAAACATCTGTTTTTTTTTCCTTGTAGATGAACCAGTGTGCGACAGAAAGAATTGTATGTGAAATTGTAGTTTTTTTTTCCTTTTCRTTTTTTCTCGAACAGAAACGGCATTCTGCTTAATCAGAAATATTTCTTATACTGACACTTCACAAGTCACGTCGCTTAGAAACTGAAGAGTTTTTTTGCGTGCACAATTTCAAGTCGACTGTAAAAATTTTTGCAGACAGTCTTAGAACTTGTAATGTATATGGCATGTATTTTTTTAACTTTCCGAAGACTCAATTGTATATATTTTCTCAATGAATGGTTGTAACAAAATTGTTTCTTGAATATTTTTCTTCTCTTGTATATGACTTCATCCTGCCAGTGTGTTTGTGCTACATTTTCTCAGTTTGTGTAAAGTAGTCAGATTTTTCCCTCTTCTCCTCCTCCTATTCTTTTTATTTTATTTTATTTTTTGTTTATTTTTGAAAATGCCTTTTGAAGTGTACAGAGTATGAGGTTTGGAGTTTGTGGAATTGAATTTAGAATCATTTACAAAAATAAACTATTTTACATGTTAGCAAACTGTGTACGACTTATGGAAAGTGGTTATTGCTTTTTATTTTGGCCAGAAGAGGAAGTTAATTATTAAAGAAGATAAATATTGGCAATAAGTTCCTCTAGGTAAATGGAATCGGTTGAATTTTTTAGCATTTCACATTCATCATGTTACAAATATCCCTCTCATGCCCAAGTTACAGCCGATGCTCTTTCACACTTTGTCATTCAAAGTCATGCATTGGTAATAAGCCAATAGGTGAGAAGGTTKTTTCTGGTCTGAAGTGGCCAAGATAAAGAGGGAAAACCTCTGAAGGACTGGCTTCAGGATGCCCAAAGAAGGTAAGCCCTAAATATGAAGAAAACAACAATTGATTCGCTTTTGTAGGCAATCAAATCCAAGATGAACGCCACAACTAAATAATCTGGCCAGTGCCAGCAAATACTCCGATACGGGGCTACTTTTTGTTGTGGTACTAACTGAGAGTCATTCACACACACACACACTACAAGCTTTAACAGATTGTGCAAGATTTTTTTGTTGAAAGCTTTTGCATGGTGGCAGGTGATACGCATTCATTGATTTTTATTGCATTATTTTTATTCATTAATTTCTACTTTTAATTTTAATCTGGCCATTTTGCTTTTGCTCTGTTCTTATCAAACCATGTTGCTCCCAGTACCAATAAAATAAAAATAAATGCACATTGCCTATTTAAATTTTTCATCAAGCAAATATTTAAGTCACAGTGACATCTGTTGGAGAGGATTCTGTTTACAATGGAGTTGTGCCTGTTTGGTGTTGCGTCAAAATTCGTGTTACTCCACAACATGTTTTTTGTTTGTTTTTGTCGGATTTAGATTTCGACATTTTTATTACTTTTTTGTTTATTTTTCTACCTGAGTCAGAAACAATAATGAAACGAAAAGATTAACAAAAATATATAGCTAAGTAAGTACTACAATGTTACAACGCAAATTAGCTTAGTTAGTACAGACAGGTTACTGGACTGTGTGCCCGGGCTGTGTGGGGCAGAAAGCTTGATTTTCCCGAAAAACAAACAAACCAAAAAAAAAGTAATAACACGGAGGAGTGCTGTTTTCGTGCAGTCTGCGCGTTAGGCTAGAACCCGGAAGCGCGGCTGGGGACTCATTTCATCGGGGTGGCAGAATGCTGCAGTACACCTGTAAACAACATGAAAGCCCCACGAGGAGGTGTGCCSTGCCTCGTTCTAGCAAACGAACTTACTTCCTGGTAGCTGCTCCTCTTGCTCGGTGTTTTCGTAGTAAGTGGGGGCAGCTTAAAGTCACGGTAGGGGCGGCAGGTTCAGGTTTGCTGTCGCAAGCAATTACTTTATCACGGTGGTCTGTTTAGCTCTTTTAAAGAGAGAGAGAGAGAGAAAATGGGAAGCACGGTGATGGAGTCCAGCAGCAAGGAAACCTCAAAGAAAATACCCAAAAAGAAGAAAGGTCTGCGGATTAACATGCCAGTGAGTCGGTGAATTATCAAATAATTTGGCTTCTTACTGTGATTGAATAAATAGGGTTGTATGTGATATTTCTAATAAACGCAGGCTGAAACTTTTAGTAGTTTTTAGCTTGTTTGTTTTAATGCATTTCGCCTCTTGTCGCGTGCGAGTGATTGTTAGCTACTTCTGTTCGAACTTCAAGTTCATCACTTCGCCTCTAAATATTTAATTTACCTTTCTAAATGAAGTAGGATGGCCTCAGTTGGGTTTCTAGAAAAAACTTTGCACAGGTAAAAAAAAAAAAAAAAAAAAAAAAAAAAACGTGTATTTTATCAGCAAGTTCAGCTACAAGCCATTAACGTGATGTCATTGAAGGCAACACCCCTGTTAAAGCTGCCGCTATTGTTTACATTATGCTAACTTTAATTAATTTAATTAAATATTAGTTAGCCCTTTTCCAAACCAAAAATATATTATCTACCAAGTTGTAGAAAAAAAATCAATGAAAACAATTTAAAATGTTTAAATTTCACACTAAACCTAAATTTCACTTAATCAGATCATCTCGTCATTATCATTAGTAAGTATCTTTTTACTGACATGAACTGATTCACAGTTGCTTTTATTAATTTATTTTAGCAACAGATAGTGTACGTAGGAGCCCTATAAGTGGCGTAGTGCGTTTGCTCATATTTGGCAGTTTGATTTTTAGTTTACTCACCTACGTCTTTTGCGCATAGATTATGTTTCCTAATTTTTTTGTTTGTTTTTTTAAGTTGCCAATGCAGTTGTGGTTGTTTGTAAATAATGCATTTTTTATGCACTTGCATCGACTGGGCAAATAAACACCCCCACTGTTTTCATCATGGCTATCAAGTGCAATGCAGTTGGAAACTGTCACAACTTTAACTTTTTGATCTCAAAGGTGGTAAAAAGCATTTTCTGTTTTTATGAAGATTACAGTAAATATTTASACTGTGCAATAGTTTATTTGTATTAAAGTTGGCTGTTTTCTGCACAGTGTATCACCTTTTTTTATAGTTTGTTTCCCAAAGAGGAATKTTACACCTAACTGTTGGTATGGAGAAGAAGCATGATATGTTTTGCATTTTCCTGCAAAGCTTATTTTGGAGGCAGAWTCTTTTTTTCATAAAGCAAGTGATTAATGGGACAATTTTGCAAACCCTGTCTYAAGAGAGTATTTATTATGTTTGCTGTATTCTTTGTGGGTTGATTTTATTTTTGACTCACAGATCTTCATTTTTATTTTTCAGGACTTTGGTGCGTTTACTGCCCCACAGGTGGAGACAAGTGGCTCGACCAAAACTGACTCTCAAATGGTACATTTAATCATTTTTTTGGGGGTCGTAGCTTTTAATTTACTTGCCAACTGTTTGTGTTCTCAAGCTGGCCCCGTTATCCTGCCACATGATTTATGAAGGCAGTTTGGATCTGTTTGCTTGGCTCTGAATTCATTAAGATGTGAATTTGGAAGAGCAAATTATTACACAGGGTTATCTTTTCTTTTCTGCCAACTCTTTTTGGCTTTCAGTCACATTACGCCCAGCGTTCAGGCTCATTTTGCAAAGTGATTTTTTTTTTCCCCCACAAAAGAAAATAACCTTGTCCCACTGTCTTGTCTTTTTCATTTGTATATCATCTTCTGCAGTCAAAAGACATGTTTATTTAAAAATAATTTTTTGTAACATTTGTGCAGGGCAGATAACGACCTTTACCATCCTGTGTTTAGTAAAGCCGCACGGTATCTAGACAAAACCCTGATAGCTACTTTGCATGCCTTGACAAGCTCTTGCGCAATATAAGATTGAGATTTGTTGGCAAATAGAAAAGATGGGCGTGTGCGCTCACGCCTCTGGATTGCCAAAGGATTGGTTTAGACTGAAAAGTGCCGACGTACAAGAAAAAGCAGACTAAACTGTCCTTCCCTTTTTGATTTAACTTGTCACAAATTATATTTGACCTTCCAGCAGCCGCATCACTGCCCTGTTATTCTCTGCAGAGCAGTTTGTTTCCTTTCATTACTCCATGCAATTCATAAAGAGTAAATTTTATGTCTTTTTATGCACTAGCAGTATTAAATTTGCATTTAATTGTTGCAGTGAATAGAGCTTAAGATCTCTGTATATTAAACTGCCTCATTGTATTTGAGCCCACAAATGGTTAAAGGATTTGTTGTTGCTGGTACATCCAGATTAGGTAGTAGGCAGCAGTGGGAGCGGTCTCCTAGTATACTGGCTGCTGCTTCTCATGTTTTGGTTTGGAGTCAGCGCAGCGATTAGTGAAGCATTTCTCCATTTGTTTACATACTGACATTGCAAAGACAGACTTTTAAACACAGAAAATCACGAGCAGAAAGAAAAGAAAACATACATTTATGCAGTAAATATGGGTGTGCATTTAGCAATGCTAGAAAAGCACATTGTGCTACTTTTCTACCATATGATGCATAACATGAGTAATAAAGCTAGCATTTGTTTGGAGGAATGCATGCACCTCTTCTGTCAAAAGCTTTTTAATAAAAATCTTATGTGATCTGTTAGAGCTCAGACTGTGTTGAGTATGACTCGTAGCTACTACCACCCTAAACTTCAGCTCAATATTTGCACAATCGACTGAGTTATAGTCAGTTTTTTGTGTTTGCTCAGGTTGATTAACTGTGGCAGCCATTTGGATGTGAGTTGACTCCGAACGCTAATCAGTTGTTGATGTACATCTGAGGAACGTTTAACTGAAATCCATCAACTGGTTCATTAAATGTTTTTGCTAACAAACAGACAAACATGCAGGCAGTTACATAATGGCCTGCCTTTTGTGGTTGCAGGTTCATGAAATCACATCCTTTCCCTTTAAGGTGAAAACCTCAGAGATACTGCTGTCCTTTAGCATTTCTYGACGACGTGTTTCCAAAAGAGTTAAAATGGAAACGCACAAAAACCAAAGAAAACTAAAAAAGAAATTCTCATAACTAAAGAGTTTATTCGTTAAGATGTCATTAATGTCATGAGATGACATCATCTACAGGTTGAAATGTTAAAACGTATAGAGATTTAAGACAAAGTCAGTTACACTGAGCTTCGGCTATGAGCACAAAACTGTGTTTTACTCAAGTCAGACTGTTTACAGAGACACTGGCTGAGGGATTGCAACACAGTAATTTCTACCTGATAAACAAAAACATGTGCGGCCACAAACACAGCTTACCCATAAAGTGCAATGGGAACAAATAAACAAGTGCTGGATTGTTTTTACCCCAAGTGCTTCATTAAAAAGTCACATCTATGAGAGACAGCCCATAATCAATCAGTCAGAAGACTTTGCACCATTATCCGCCTACTCGACCTAATCACACGTTGTATCGTTCTAGTTCAAGTGAAGCCATGGTTGTTTACAAACCAGAGTGTTTTTTTTTTTGTTTTTAGCTACAATGCAGCCTTGCAGACACTGCAGGAATTCATTAATCTAAGTGTGCACAAGTTCCTTTTTTATTAACATAAGATTACTGCAGTGGCTTTGGTGCAGTGGCTTTTTGTTTTGGCCCACAAACCCAATCTCTGTTGTCTATCTGTTCCCCTCTGGTCCCCAGGCACTATGAACCAAACAGAATGAATATATTGTGCAACATAATCTGTAAACTTTAGGCATGCAGCTCAAAACTGCTGTCAGTAAACAGAGTTTGCTGCAGCACCTAGAAGCGTAGAGAAAAACCAAAACTGCACCACTCAAACACCGAGTCTCAGAGCTCAGCATCATTTAAATGAGCTGAACAATTGGTCAGAAAAATAYAAACTGTACATTGTTTTTTTATTATTAAACCCAGAAGAGTTTTTAATGGATGTGTCTTCACGGTGCAACAAGCTATTTGTGGTGCATGCATTATTCTCAGGGTATGGTGTACATTTTAGAGGAAAATGTCTTCTCTCATTACAACCATCACTAAATTCTGCAAGGACTAGTGCCTGGATTAGGGTTGGGCAATACTGGCAAAAAAAATCACTTTTTTTATCTCTTTGTAAGTAAAAGGTCATTTAACTATGTAGTAAATTGCCAATCGTTGCCAGTCARTTAAAACTGTTTATGGTAGATGATTGTTTTCTTCGTGCATTTTCTTCCTAAATATATTTCCCTTAACGGATTTTTAAAAAATCACAGCATTGAATTTTATCGACATTTAACTACAACATTCTCACTTTTTTTTAATGCACAGCTGTAGATTGAAAAGTGCGCTGAAGCCTATTTACTTTGACAGTCTCTGATTTGTGAGCTACCATAAACTCTTACAGTGTGGTTAAACTAAGCTAAACAGTGTGTAAAAAGGAGAAGTTACTCCTAGGCGAAAAAATGCAATCAGCAGTTATTGTTTCACAAGAAATCTGTTCTATATATAGTGTTTCGCTTTGGCCCTTTCACTTTTTACGAACTAGCTCTGCAGCATTTCACAGAATTCTGCAGTGACTACAATGAGATTATACCATGTAGTTATTTGAGTACACAGGAGTAAAAAGGTATTTTTATTGTCTGCCAGGGGGAGCGTCTCATTCATTCAGCCAGCCCGGTCAAAGGAGTGATTTCCAAGAACCCGGCCAGTTCGTCACCGACAACTCATTCGGCTCCGATGCAGATAAAGTACAGTTCAGCCTCCCCCAGGACCATCTTCCCTTACCCCTCCCATCAGAACGCCTCGCCCAAGTCCCCCCATCGGCTAAGCTTCAGCGACATCTTCAGGTCCAGTTCCCCAAATGCAAGCAAACGAATTTTCTCCAGAACCAGAAAACGTAAGTAGACTAGAGAAATCACATTTCCTGCAAATACACAGTGTGAGTGCTTATTGTTGAAAGACTTTTGCTGAAGTGTCCTGATGCATCTCAGTAATCCAGGCAGAAAAAAATCAAAAAGAAAAAAATAAGTAGGTCCTCTGGACGGGTTCTTCTTTAGTGAAACGTTTCATCTCTCGTCCAAAAGACTTCTTCAGTCTGATGAGTTTCAGGTGAGCTCAGCMCTGCCTCCACATGRTGGACAAACAGGTCAGTCACATGCAAAAGAGGGCCATCGCCTAACAATAGGCTTGATTAGCTGTGTTGTACATAGAGGGTCATTTGCCCCATTATATGACTTATTGGTTTGGATGCTTCGGCTGTGGTTATATGGTGTTTTTGTTATTTTTATGTAGTGAGTGCAAGCAGGGCTCAACGTCCCCTTGTTTTTGTCTCGCTTTTCCTATTTGTGTTTGTATCGTTGGGGCCCTGATTCACACCTTTTGTTCACAGGGGGCTGAGTCATACTTGCAATAACAGCATTAAAAAACTCAAAAAAGTTGATTTTTACATAATATTGCCCCTTTTAAAGAAGCAGTATTTGCCTATTTGCTGAATTAAGCAGGAAAAAACTTGAAATGACCTCATGAATTTASCTGAAATAAAGCTAAAATGTGCTGCAAATAGCTAAAAATAGAGAAAAAGGCAGAAGATAGCTTGAATGAGCAGAAATCAGCTGAGAAGCACAAAAAACAAATTATCTGAAATAAGCAAAACAAAAGCACAAAACATTTGAAATTAGTAGAAGAATAGCTGAAATGAGCACAGTAATAGCTGAAAATGCAGAAAAAAGTTAGCCAAAAGAAACTAAATGAAGCTGAAATTAGAGCAAATAAGTAAAATAAAAAAGGAGAACCAGAACAAAAGGTAAAAAATTACAAAACAGATTTATAAACATTTTGAAGACCACTCTTTTCAGTTTTAATGAGAAAAATAATGGCAGAAAAAGCTAAATTGTATAAATTGCTGAAACACCAAAGGTCATATTTGGAATGTCCTGAAAGAGCTCAACATTTTTATATTTAAGTACAAAAGTTATTGAACAAGTTAGATGCCAAAAACTGTATGGAAAACAAATGGATCATCTCAATAGTGTGAATGCTTTATAAGCCTTCACACAACAAACAGGATCTGATTTAAATCATGATTTCTAACAATTCATCRTGTCGAAACACAACACCTAGGTTGACTCTTGTAAAGGAAGTATGATACAATAGAAACTGTTCTCTCAGTTTATTTGGGTTTCCTGCACGTGTCTGAAACCRCTTTCAAGAACTAGTTTCACTCAGTTCATGYATTTTGCTTGTTGTTTTCGTTACACTGTTGAACATTGTGCAGTATTTGTCTCGAAGAACAAACCACTGCTTTGCTTTGTGGTGGCCTGCAGTCGGCGTGGTCGCAAGGTTCATCAGACAGGCGTTTGATCATCTGTCATCTTTTTAATGCTGTCAACAACTTTTGAAATGAAGAAAGGAAATGGTTGTCTGTGTTTGTTGTGTCAGTCAAGCTCTCAACATTATACAATGAACTGAAAAGGCAGTTTGTTATATTCAATTACTGGTTTGGCTCCACGCTCATGGGAGTCCAGCCAGCATACATTTACCAGCCATCATTAAAAATGCAAAAAATAGGGAGAAGTGAAACAGGCTGGGTAGAACAAGGCCATGCTTTATGAAGAACAGRCCTAGCTGGCAGAGCTTCAGCTCTCGTGTCTCCATGTATTTGGGCAGTCGATCAATGCAAAGCGAAAAGAATAAAAGCTCTTCTTCATGAAAAACCGCTCCACATCAAGCAGTCGTACGGATGAGTCATGGTTTTTGGCTCGWGCTCGAACCCATTCTTCTGTGTTTCCTTGCAGAGGGTCAGTTTGGCAGAGGTTGGTGGAACAGCTCAGTTAGGGCCAGACCTTTAAAAAAATGTAGGCATGCTTTGTTTCCTCTGGAGACTGTTATTGATGGTAACCAAACTAAAACAGCACCAAAACAAGTCCAACACTCCTCCTGTGGCAAATGCTTTGCATTATAAATGCATGATGTGGTTTAAGACGTAACATCTTGTGGAACGAAATGATTTGCGGTGCGTAAAAGTCTTGATAAAGTGCATTTAAAACTGAGTAGCTTAAAGTGAGTTTGTGAGCACACCAGAGAGACTGTAAGAAAGTCCCCTCTCTCACTTACTGTTCACATTCTTTTGTTACATTTTCACTGAGTTAAAACTATTTTGCGTTGGCTAATATTWGTTYGCTGGAGTAGCCATYTTGAATTGGGWWATCAGTTGTAGATGGACAACCAATGATTGCTTTCCGAAAGTTTGATTAAATTCTGTGTAGTGGTTCATTATGGGCACAAATTTATATTAGACTAAAATTTGTGCCCATAGTTCATGAGATGCAGTAATGTTGCAGTCAAAGAMCTTTCATGGCAGAAAGTGATTACAATCCCCGCTCACGGATTTACTTCTTTTTATTTTAGTTTTTTGTCCAGAAGAGTGCTTCTGAAACACTGTGTTTGATCTAAATTGATAAGATCAAACCTGTCTTTCATATTCACTAACAAGCAGCACATTAATGCAATGAAATACACAAAAAAATCCCAGATCTGCTTTTATCTTTAATGACATGTCAGTGATATCAGACAGCTTAATGATTTACTGTTCTCCTGACTTTTATGCCTGTTTTTCTTTGTGTTTTGTGTTTGCGTATTTTATAGGCAAGGGTTTGTAACATTTAAGAGGATTACCATAAAGTGAAGATTTAACACAAACTTCTGTTTTCCTAAGACAAATCTAAACAGCATTTCCTTACTGTGAATTAATTGACTGGAATTAGTTATGATTCATGGTTGGGACTTTGTTTTTATTTAATTTTTTGTAAGTGCCATGAGATGGCTTTTGTTGTGAATTGGCRCCGTTTAAATAAACTGAACTGRATTGAATTAACACTTGACAAAATGACACTGCATTTCAAACCTGATTCGTAGTGCAGGTCTCTGAGTTTATATTTGCATAAAGATGGTTTTGTTGATGCCCTCTTTTCACCACCTGGGTGCGCTGTAAGCACAGTCTCATTTTAATTTCTCTCTCAAACTGTATTGCTTCAACATTACCTCCTGACCCTAATTTTTCACCTTTTTTCTTTATTCTGTGTTTTGTCTTGACCTGTATAGTATAACTTCCATTTACTGTTCACTGAAACTCACCGTCTTCTTTTTTTTTCTTTTTTCTTTTTTTACGTGAACATATTATATGACGGGAATGTCACCCCATTCTAGCCTGTTCTAAATATGTTTTCCCATCGCCTGGACATTGTCAGCCTCTTGCTGCTGTTGTGTTTCCATCACCTTATCTGGAAGTGACCAGACTCTCAGGAGCTCCTCTCACACTCATGCAGTTTTTTTTATTCCCCCTCCACTTTCACTCTGTTGCCACTGTGAGCTGTATGTTGTCAGTAAATAAAAGAGTTTTGACCTTCTATATTCTTAAAGCACAGCCCTTACATGGGGAGGGTCATTATCGTTTTTAGCAAAAATGTTGTTTAATGGGCACACATTTCAGTTTTCTATTCACCACAACATATTAATGCTAAATTAGTTGATTTATTGAGAAGTGTAACATGTTACTATTTGATGCCTGAGCCCTTTTAGTTATAGTGGTCATATTGAGTGTGGAGCACTTGCATAGCCTGTTAATTGAGATCCTGGCAATGCTTCAACTAATCTGTTGAGGGGGTGAGGAGCTTCTGATCAGCTGRCAGAACATGCTGCTGCTGTCATCTGACAGAGGGGCTGTCCTCAGCACTCTTAAAGTTCAGGTCCAGAAAACCTCCAGACGCCGAACTGTACAAATGACGGAGGGGCTGCAGTTTTTTTCAAATGCTGGCTTTAGTTTGAAGACTTCTCCCCCTCGGGGGAGCTGCCACCCCATCCTGAAGGAGTTACATCACGTGATGACTGAGCGAAGCAGATGCTCCGGTGCTGAATTTACTCCGAGAAGGAGGGAGGGCGGAGAGATGTGCAGCCCGAGCCAATCAGAGGGGGCTTTCCTGACGGACTGGCCTCCTTTTACAGGCAGCTGACATGCGTGCTATATTAAAGAGATGCCACCCACAGCTGCACCTGACAGTTTACAGCACTGGCACTTCAGAAAAGACTCCTGGATTTTATTTGCATCACAGCAGCTAAAGTTCTGTTGAACTYAATGCGTTTGGATTTTTCTCTTTTTCATCAAATATAGGAGCTGCACAACGCCTCCTGCTGGCTCAGCACTTAGTTTGGGAATTTTTTTWWWWTTATTTTATTTTTTTCAGTGTCTGGAGATTGCAGTAAGTTTTTGGTTAAAGTTGGTCGGTTTCTTCTCGGTCCAGCGTCGATCCGCCGGGTTTGTTCTAAACAAGAAGCAAACCGAGGAACTCTTACTTGGGACGTCTGTTCTGCTCTCATCGTGATGCGGATGGTCATGATCAAATTTAGTTTTGAGACGACAACCCACTGCTTTCCATGAAGAGGTTTGGCAGCCTGAGGAGGAGCAAGAAACGAAAAGAACAAGATGGGTTAGAGGGACGGCATCCGTCCGAGGCTTCGTGTCTGGCTGGTAATGTACTGCACTCTCCCCCCCTCTGCAGCTCACACACATCCATTGTTCTAGTGGGACCAGTTAAACAGCTGACACTCTTACAGCTCGCCCTCATTAACATAAATTATTGGTGCACAGTAAATTGCTGCTTTTAAAAGGATCACACTAAACATTTCCACCTTTTTGTAAAAGTGAACATTACCTTGCCCTAACATTAACTTGTCAGCTCATGTTCACAAGGAACGGTGCAGACAGCTGTTACGTGTTGGTATGAAGGTCTATATTGTATCTCAATGGTATGTTAACCCCAAATTAAAACTACCTACGTGGGTTTTGTTAGGATTTAAAGCTTTGCTGCAGGAATTTAATATCTGCCTGCCTAAGTCGGGATG